TTTTTAACTTTGTTTGGTATGTGGTCTAATTTAAATATAGTGCAATGCTCCTCTTAATCATACATTCAAGGGGTTCCAACAGATGCAAACGTTGTACAAGACATCCCACACACTCTGCCCCGACCCCTGAGCATCTGCTGTTCAGACTTAGGTTACTAGATTGGTGTGGCCTATTCTGGGGTGTAGTATAAATGGAATCCTACAGTGTGTACTTTGTATGTGTGTAGGGCTTCTTTCACTGTGCATACTGTTTTCAGATGCATCCATGTGGCGTGCGTGTTTCTGTGGGTCATCCCCTTTTTATTGCTGAGCTCTATTCGAGATATGAGCACTGGTGGTGTAGGGGTTTTGTGTTGGGCTGCTAAGCACAAGGTCAGCAGTTCAAAGCCTCCAGTCACTCTGTAGAGGACCGATGAGGCTTCCTTCTCTCACAAAGATTTATATTCCCTGAAACCCATGGGGAAGTTCTATCCTGTCCTATAAGGGTCACGATGGGTCAGAATCAAGTCAATGGCAGTGAGTTATTTCATATGAATATTCTACAGGGGTACTTTTGGTTTTGGTTTATTTTATAATATTTTTCCTACTGATGAACACTTGACTATTTCCAATTTGGGGCCCAATAAAGATAACAACATTCTTTCTCCTGTAAACTTTTTGTGGGTACACCCTTTCATTTCTCATAGGTAAATGCCTATGCTTGGAATTGCAAGGTCAGAGAAGAGGGATAGGCTTAGTTTTATAGGAAATTGCCAGGTTTCCCACCCCTTCGGGATGTACTACTTGACACCCCCACCGTCAATGGATTAGAGCGGGCCTTAGTTGCCCTTAGGTGTTAGCAGGGGCAGCTCATGTGGTTTTAATGTGCATTTCTCTGATTAAATGACATCAAACATGTCTTCATGTGGTTACTGGTTATTTTAAACAAGACAAAAACAAAGTTCTTTGTCTAGGTATTATTGAGTTGTAGTTATTCTTTATCTATCATCATATACTAGACACGCACTAGTCCTTAGTCAGATCTCTATAGGAGAACCTTTCCTTCCCTGGGGGAGTGGAAACCCCCCAAACTCAGTCTTTTTGTCTGGCTCTTCCCCATAAAGGAGCCCTGGTGGCATTGTGGTTACATGTTGGGCTGGTAACCACAAGGTCAGCAGTTCAATCCACCAGCTGCTCCACGGGAAAAAAACTTGACGTTCTACTTCTGTAAAGAGTTACAGTCTCAGTAACCTGCCAGCGCAGTTGGTTCTCCCCTGGTCTATAGGGTTGTTATGAGTTCGGGGTTTAGTTTTGCTTCTCCATACAAGGAGACTTGAAAAGGGGTGCTGCTTTGTTGAACCCTGCATTCCCAACACTCCAGAATGGCTCCTGATAAGTAGTAGGTGTTCCAAAAGCATTTAGTGAAATAATCAATGAATGAGCAGATGAATTGGTTTTTGGACCAGATACTATATTCTTGCATCAAAATGACATAAGTTATGAAAAAAATAGAAAACAGACTCACTGCCATCGAGTCATTGCCAATGCATAGCAGCCTTACAGGGCAGGGTAGAACTGCCCCTGTGAGTTTGTAAGACTGTACGTGCCCGTGGGAGTAGAAAGCTCTGCTTTTGTCCCGAGGAAAGGCTGGTGGCTTCCACCGGCATGTCTTGTGGCTCACAGGCCAACTGGTGACCACTATGCCACCTGGCTCCAGAAGAAGTGGGGGCGGGGGCGGGACTTCAAGTATTATCTTTGAACTCTGAAGTACATCTGGTACAAAGAATGCGTCTTGGCTCAGGGGATTTGTGCACCCATGGAAAACATTGCCAGAATACCTGAGGGACTGACCTAACTTGTCCCCATTTACAAATCTCTAGTCCCTATCAGTCACCAAATCCATACTCACGATTTACTTTCTCATCTTTAGACATTGGAGGAGTTTAGGGCGAACATCGGTGAATCTGTGTGAGCTCAGTGGGTTGATTTTACCACAGCCAGAAGAAAGATACGTAGTGTCTGAATGAGTCTCCAAGCCAATAACTAGTACACACTCATTTTCACTGAGCTTTTTAAGGATTGAAGGGCCATCCTCTGACTCTTGGTAGAATGGGGGCAGCGTTGTTTATTTTGAAGAAGTGCCGCTGTGCCCGTCCCTCCCCTCAGGAACTAGAACCCCTCCCTCCTGATGTCCAGGTGGGAAGGAAAAAGCTAGTGCTTGCAGCAGCCCTCTGTGGTCTGGGCTTCTCCCAGTCTCTGTGGAGGGGGGGCTTGACCACTTCCCCAAGTATTTCCTCAGTTCAAACTTATAAGGTCAAACCTTTCCTTAGGTTCATTTCCAGAAGCAAAGACATATGCCAACCACCATGTAGAAATTGTTAAACCAAAGGTAGAACTTTTTTTTAAATGTCCTGGAGCCAGAACCATTACAGAGTTATCAAAAAGACTTCTAATTGGCGTCAATATTTTCCAAGGATTTTCCATAGTTGCTAGTCTAAGGACAGTGTCTGCTTCTAAAGTCCTGCCTAATACATGGTACTCTGCCTGCCAATTATAGAAGAGGCATTTCATATGGGGAAGATTATTGCTGGATTTTGTGATTGAATTATCATTGTATTGTTTTTCAGTAAATTGCGTTAGAGAAATCAATGATAATACGCTGTAATCTAAAATTAATCATATGAAAACAAAAGTTCTTGTGAATAACATTAAGTGAAAGAAGAATGCATGAGTTGGGAGGTAGGCACACAACAATTAAGAATGTATACATGTAGATAGTCTGCAGAAATGGGGCAAAAAATTTTCTCAGGCAGGGTAAGGATGAGTCCTCTGGCATCAAAACGCCTTCCATGTAAATGGTGACATGTCTCGGCTTTGCAGCTTAAAAGACTCGTATGTAAAATAGATTTCACGTTGCGCCAGGGAAGAATAAGCACTTTATTGATCTCACACTGTGCTTTGCCTTGTTTTGTAGGAGACCCAGCAGAAATCTACGAATGTGGTCTACCAGGCCCACCACGTGAGCAGGAACAAGAGAGGACAGGTGGTTGGAACAAGGGGTGGATTCCGAGGATGTACTGTGTGGCTTACAGGTAAGCCATGCTTGCATAGGCATCTGTATCCTTTCTTATTGCCACTACAGGTGAATGTGCGATGGAGTTGTACAATTTGCAGAAAGTAAATTTATTTTTATTACTCGAAAGAGGCCGAGGGCTTTAGCAGAAAGCCTGCTTAACTTTGCTACCGAGGGGACATAAGACTTTGTTGAAGGTGCAGAATATAATGTCTCTGGTCCACAGCTCCCTCTCTCCAGCATGAGAGGATGGGATGACTTGTTTGTGACATTCCTTTTTGCTCTAAGGAATTCCTTCATCGCCAAGTGCTTGCCTAAACACATCTATTGGCAGTTGAGTGGCGCATTCCTGATTTGACACCGAGCATTTGGCTGTCACTGAGGTTTGGGATGCATAGGGAGATTTTTGTTGTTGTTTTCTGATGTTCATCTCCTTGGGAACTAAGCATCTGTATGAAAAGAAACACTAGTGATCTTCATTGGGCTGACGATTGCCTTAGGATATAGAAAGAGCTCTCGTGGCTGCCACTAAGGTGACCAAACGAATCTCCATTTCGTTGTGTTGTGATAGCCACAGCAGGCCACAGGGAAACTGCAGTGACAGACCTGAAATTAGAGCCTAGACGATGGCTCCTCTGTGCACAAGGTGGAGCAAGGTTGTTCCTCGGGAGTATGAGTCTGACAAAGCCCGGACTCAAAAGGAAAAGCAAGCGCATTTCAGAGATGTGACATGTCCAATGGAAATGAGCCCAGATGCAAATAAAGGTTTATCCAGCGAGGCAATAAATCCATGTGTCACTGTCTGCTCACACATGCTGATGTGAAGATAAGATAGATACCTTCTAACTTGAAGATAATTCCAAAGAATGTGGCAGGCAGGGACTTGCCCTGCATCTTTTCCTGCCATCCTGGGTCTTTCCCTGTCTAACATCAATCAGCCGCGAACCTCTGTCTTCGTTGCTGTGCTGCTGCAACATACATTATCACAAATGGGTGGCTTGAAAGAACAGAAATTTCTTGTCTCACAGGCCTGGAAGCTACAAGTCCACATTAGGGTCCTCATGTCAACTCCTTCCTTATTGGATGTCCGTGTTTCTTCACTTGGCATCTGCCTCTTCAGTCTGTGGCTGCCTCTGTGTCTACTCTGATCTTTGTACAGCTCCGGAGTGATTAGGTTTAGGATACACCCTACACTGATGGGGCCGCTACCACTACAAAGCATCCCCACTTTCAAATAAGATTATATCCAAAGGTTTACAAAGGTTAGGATTCTAGCAAATATTGGGGGTGCGGAGAGGGATGGGGACAGGATCCAAGACATGACACCCTCTTTAGACTTAGTCTAGGAGCCCTTGTGGCACAGTGGCTCTGCATTGGGTTGTGATCTGCATGGTCAACAGTTCGAAACCACCAGCTGCTCGGCAGCAAAAAAGATGGGCTTTCTATTCCTGTAAATAGTTATACTCTCAGAAACCAAGCCGAACAGCTGTACCCTCTGCCCTGCCCTATAGGGACAGGATCCATGGTGACCTATAGGGTCACCATGAGTCAGCTTTGAGTGGCTGGCAGTGAGCTTTTAGGCTTGGTATCTGCAGTTTTCAGCATCTGGGTTTGGTGTCATTCCTCGCGGGGCCTCTGCATCACAACGTTCATCAGCCGAAAAGAGAACAAGGGAGGGGTCAAGGCACCCATGATATTCAAAGAGGCCGAGCTCCCCAGGCACTGTTTCTGGAATGTTTACCCCCAGCTCATTCTAAAAGACATCATTTGTAGTAGCAGTAGGCAAAACACAGCTGTATTCTAGAAACTTCCCTCTTGGTCTGTGTTTGCCTCCATGAGATGCTTTGTGGTGAAAACAATGTTTGTATTGGGGAGTACACACAGACTCCATTTTCCCTAATTAGGACTCCCCTTGAAAAGAAGAGACAAGCCAGGAGAAGGGAAAATCATTGCCTATTTTTCTCTTTTGGTCCTCATCCTGAAAAAAAAATCAGAAGGGAATATCTTTTCTTGGTTGTTTTTTGTTTGCTTGTGTGTTTTTAATTCTTCAGTTACAGAGGTAGGCAGATGTGAAGAAAATGGAATACTTCCCATCTAGAGATTTAGATTGGAGTCTCAATTCCACCTACCTTAACTGTGGGACCTTGGACAAGCCAATATACCTCTGTCAGCCTCAGTTTCCTTCTTTGCAAAAGGGGAATGAAAATAGTGCCTGCCTCATAGGATTATAAAACCCACTGCCACCCAGTCAGTTCCAAATCATAGCAACCCTCTCGGACAGGGCAGAACTGCTCCTTTGGGCTCTTAATCGTTACAGAAGCAGACAGCTTCATCTTTCCTCTTAAAGTGTGGCTTGGGGTTTTAACTGACGTGAGTAGGACTGAATGAAACAGCATAGATGTATTGAGCACCGTGCCTGGCCCAGAGGAAAGTTCTCAGTAAGTGTAATTAGTGTTGCCTCCGTGTATGAGGGCGTTTCAAAAAGTTCATGGGAAAGTGGATTTGAAAGATAATGGAAACAAAAATTAATCTCTCTCTGGTTCTGATGCCACAGAGCATAAGAGAGCTTCAGACATCCTGCTTTCTCCCACAATTCAATGTAAATTCGTAGGGACATTTATCACCTACATTTTTATTCTGATGACACTGGGCAGCACGGGAACATCATAAGCAATGCCTTCCAGGATGACCTCGCCAGGACTGACACGAACACAGACTTCCTGTAGCCTTTTCTCTAATGAGCCTTTGCCCAGGCCAAGGGAGGACTGTAAAGCATAACGAAAAATATGGGAATGATTTGATTGCCTCGAGTATTTCACCTTCCCCCTGCTCTGCCTGCCCCCATCTCCTTTCCTCTCAGTGCCCCATTCCTACCTTTCTCTTTGGCTTTCCCCTCTTGTTCTTTCTCCGCTGTGGTCTTCTCTGTATTAGCGTTTGGGCCGTTTGTTCTTTCTCCCCACCACCTCCTTTCTCATGCCGGTGCTGCCTTGACAGTGGCTTTGCATGGTGGGATGGTCTTCCGGCTCAGTCTTTTAGGACCACTGAATTTGTAGTGTTCATTTTCCAGGGTAATTTAGAATCTGAGCTCTGGAGTCATTTTGCCCAGTTGCGTATGTTCTCCCCCCCCCCGTGTAGAAAAAACAGCATTCACTCCCAGTCCTTTCCCATTGACACCTGGGTGGAAGGCCTAGGAAGGCACGCGGCAGCTCTGTTCTCATATAAAGGCTCTCGGTGCCCACGCGTGTCTCTCGGCTCTGCAGCACCCGCAGCCGAGCTCAGCATGGCTCCCTGGCTTCATGTTTTGAGAGTCATTTTGGAAAGAACCTTCAAGCCCAAAGGACAGGATATAGACTCTACTGTCAAATCATAGCTTAATGAGTTCGCAAGGGAAGTGGGCCTACTGGTCTCTAGGGCCTCGCTGCCTGCCCCCCCCCCACTCTACTAATTGTTTCCAGGAGAGCATATGAAACCATTGTCTCCAGATCTTATGATTTTCCAGGAGGAACGTGGAGAATGCGTTCTTATGCGCACCTTTCTTGTTTTAAGACACTGCAGGAACTCCCTGCTTAGGGGACACGGAGCTTCTCTGGAGGTTGATGGACAATGGGGAGTGGTGATGGTGGAAGCACTTGATGGAGGTGATGAGTGTCACTGAACTATACACTGAAGGAGGTGGACATGGCCAACATTTGTTACTTAGATATTCCACAGAAAGCAAGGTTTTATTTTAAAAGCAAGCAAAACAGAACACATAGGAGGAGAGTATAGCAAACCCCCAGCTCCTCCTCTTTACCTCCCCTCCTGTGATCCTACAGGAGGCAAAGCATTATGTCACAAATTGAAAGAGATGCAAGAAACGGGTTAGTATTGAATGATACTGTGGTTTTGAATGTCTGTGGTTTTGGTTGAAGGACTGGTGTTACAAGCTGATCTCGGGTTGATTCTAGCTCATGGCAGCCTGGATGGCTGCATGCGTCCCTGAGTGATACCCATGCTCAACGTTCAACTACTAGCCTGAGTATCGGGAGTTGGAATTCACCCAGCGGTACTTGGGAGAGCATCCCTGTGATTGGTTTGGGGAAGGGCCCAACCTAGAAAACTCTTAAGCAGCGGTTCTGGTCTGCAGACATGCGTTCCCTGTGAGTCAGAACCAACTGACAGCAAACAAACAGCCTTCAAGGAGGATTTGCCCTCCCAAGGGCAGGATCAGGGCACAGCTTCTGGTTGGAAACAGTCAAGAGGCGCTCTCAGTGTGTCTTGCCTGTTCTGAACAGGTCTCTCCGGTGCGGGGAAAACAACCGTGAGCTTCGCTCTGGAAGAGTACCTAGTCTCCCATGCCATCCCTTGTTACTCTCTGGATGGGGACAACGTCCGCCATGGCCTGAACAAAAACCTGGGCTTCTCCCCTGGGGACAGAGAAGAGAACATCCGCCGGATTGCCGAGGTGGCCAGGCTGTTTGCAGATGCCGGTCTGGTCTGCATCACCAGCTTCATTTCACCTTTCACGAAGGTAAAATGACTTGGCGTGGCTCTCCCACTGCCCAGAAAAGGCAGGGGCTGGAAGCGGGGCGGGAGGGGGCGGGGGAGATGCACCGAGGAATGTGAGTTCCAATTCCCACCACCCCCACGCTGCTTCTTCTTTTCTCACTGGCTCCCTCATTTCCTCTATTTCAGATTGGCTATATGACCCTAGTTCCTTCATTTCCAGATGCCAGGGCACAAACGTTTGCACGTTCACATCACATAGAGTATTTGGCCCGAGCTGAAAGGAGCAAAGAGTTAAACAGAACCACGCAGCAATAGCATTGCCAGTACAGGTCTCTGTAGAATTGAAATGTTTGGGGCTTCAGAAGAAAAGAACGTGTGTGTGTGTGTGTGTGTGTGTGTGTGTGTGTGTGTTCTGTTGAAATCACTGAAGCAGGGTGTCATTCTTGTTTTAAAACAGGAAGTTGCTGTGAACTGCAGATTATAGGCTTTGAACCCATTTCCCGTCTAGCAGGCTCCAGGAGAGCTGTGTTTACAAGTGCCGCACTCCTGAACGTTCCCAGAGGGACGAGGCTCCCACGGGCTCTCTCGCAGAGCTAAAGGCCCAAGTGTTATCTTAAGGCTAGCCGACTACCGGAGCATGCAGCCATTTGTGTGGAAGAATTTCCTGTGAAACGTCTTTTCCATTCTGAACCTGTCTTTTCCAGGACCGTGAGAATGCCCGCAAAATCCATGAATCAGCGGGACTGCCGTTCTTTGAAATATTCGTGGATGCGCCGCTCAAAGTTTGTGAAAGTCGAGATGTGAAAGGCCTTTACAAACGGGCCCGGGCTGGGGAGATTAAAGGTACGAGCACCCGCTGGGGCTCCTTCTCCAGCCTGCTCAATGCTACCGAGCCATCCTTCTTCTGTCCCCAGAAATCTGTTTGGAGTTTCAAATGGTGTTATCCAAAAGTGTGAAATAGTTTCAAAGGCTGTCTTCCAAAACTGCATAGAACATGTATACCATTTTAAAAAATCAAATCATGATGTATTCAGTATGTCCGTGGGCTTATTAAAACACGAGTCCTTGTTTTCTTGAAAGAATGCGCCCCTTCTCAGCAGTAATTGTTGAGAGGACGGACATGGGTGTGTGTGGGAGAGGGTGTGTATGGGGGTTCCGTCTTCTGGTCCTCTCCTAGTCTAATCACCCACAGAAGGCTTACATGTAACGAGCCAAATATTCTTGACAATGTAGGGGCTTTCCGGGTCGGAAATACTGCTGTTTACTTTTCTTTGGCTAGAGGTCAAGGGCAACTCTTGGACCTCCTCTGTTACCAACAGAATTCTCAGTTTACTGGATGGTTTCAACATGTGTTGTGCTTTGTTGGTCTAAAAGACTGCCCTGTCCCTCTGCCTTCATGCACTCCTTAAAGCAAATTGGGGCAGCTCTAGCTCCAGTGGAGCCACCCACGTACATTCGGCCAGGGTGCCTGCCCTGGCTGAGTGGGCTTAAGTTGGCATGGTCTGATCCGGAAGCAGGAGCCCTGGTGGCACGGTGGTTCTGAGTTGGGCTGAGATCTGCACGGTCGGCAGTTGGAAACCAGTAGCTGCTCCATGGAAGCCCCGTGGCTTCCTGCTCCTCTAAAGAGTGACCGTCTCAGAAACTCACAGGGCCAGTTCTGCCCTGTCCTAGAGGGTCCCTAGGAGTCCGCACTGACTCAATGGCAGGGAGTTTGGCTTTGGAGTTGGCAGTATGGCCTCCAGACATGCCACCAACAAAACAGCCTCCCTGCTAGCCAGTCGATTTCCGCTCAGCGTGACCCACTGTGTAGGGTCTCCCCATCTTTTCCCCACCGAGTACTCATCGGGTTTCAGCTTCTGACCTTGTGGTTAGCAACCCAATGGCTAACCCACAGCGCCACCAGGGCACCTTGCAAAAGGAGAAGGCTTCAGCAAGCTGCGCTAAAAGAGCTTGGTGGCATCACGGTGAAGCGCTTGGCTGCTAACCAAAAGATTAGCAGCTTAAACCCACCCAGTCACTCAGTGGAAGAAAGATCCTGGTGATCTTCTTCCAGACAGATTACAGCCAAGGGAACCCTGGGAGGCAGTTCGAGTCCAGCACACAGGATCAGAAGCAACTCAGAGCCACTCAGCAACGACAGATTGGGCTGAAGGTCCACCCCCATCAGATTATCCAAGACACTTACCCAGTGAAAGACACCATGCAAACTCTTTGTATGGGAAACTTTCCATCTTTTTGTTCCCCCTAAAATAAAAGTGCTTTCCTGGCCTCACAGATATGATTTTCTC